CTAGCTGCAGGTCGTAGGCGGCGCGCCGCGAGCCATCGCTGAGGATTTCGAAGGCACAGACGACGCCCTTCGCAGGATCTGCTCACATCACTACATGGAGGTTTCCCAAAATCAGGGGTCCCTTTAAAAGGATGTATAACGGTTATATGGTGTTATAAAAGGTTTAAGGTTTCGGTCCCTATGATAAGGCCTATAGTATTTTGGGGTCTATATTGGGGTCCCCCTGTTTAGCAAAACTACCACATCTTTAAATGGGCTTAATTACCCCTGGGATAAAAATGAAAGCAACGAAAGGCAACCCCACTTAACCCCAATCTTGGGACGTATCACTTTGAGAACATCTGGCTGACACACTACACTGCCAACGTACATCCACACCACTGCAGGGGTCATATTGCGAAAAATTGGCTACGCACATGCATGGAACGTGCCCCACAATGCCATTCAATAACCCCAGATGTTGCAAGATTTTTGCTGCGTCCAGGTCACGTGGAACTCCTCCGGACCTCAGAGGAGGCAGCTAGCCAGGACTTGAATTAAATGGAGTGCTTCGGCAAGAAACAAGCACAACAACAGCGAACAGTAGGAATGACCGTGAGCAATGAGATCTCAGGCCGTCTGTCGGCCTGCAGTCCCTTTGAAATCTCTGCTTTGAAGTAAGGCGCTTCACTTGCATATGCGTACCAAATTTGCCTATTTCTTGCCACCTTCAGACCATTTCAGACCATATGTCCGGTAGCAGTAAAGACATCCTCCACGCCTTTCAAGCCCGATCCTGTATTCAATAATTTGAGCAGTGGACGACCGCCCTTGTCTGGATGTGTCAGTAGCGCTCGTCGCCGGAAGGCCTGCGGGGCACAAACCTTCAGCAAGTAATTGATAACAGCAACACAAAAAGCTTTCGTAGTAATAGTAATAGTAGTAATTACGGTAGTAATAGTAGTAATAAGAATAGGTTGCGTACGAAAAATTGCGTCTTGCTACAGACTACCAGCTGCATGGGCAGTGCCGCTGAGACTTCACCTACTCAGCATGCTGTGTCGCCTAACAGAAGAGGCTCCACACTAGCTGCTTCAATATTTATTACTACTATTGCTGGGTCTATGTTGGGGTCCCTCTGTTAATGGAGACTACCAAATGAGCTGCCTCCCGGATCTCCACTGGCGATGCGCTCCTCAGGACCTGAAGCTCCTTGGCATGCAACGTCGGTTGGGCAGCCCAATAGCTTTCCAGGGTGGACGCACCCAGATCTATATAATAGGGAGTATACATTGGCTTTCCAGGAGCCTTATGGAATGACATGCGTTTTGGGAACTAACCTGGTTCTCGACTAATCCTTTGCCGGCACTTGTGCAAGGCTCTCGGACTTGTTTCCGTCTCTTTAGATGGATAGCGAGGCATCCTTGCGCCATGGGACAAAGCCGGGACGAACACAACCCAGATGCGCTTTGAAAATGATTGCTGACAACATTTAGGTACCATTCCCCTGGCCCTCCCATACCCTCCCGCGAAGACTCCCAGAAACATTTAAGGATTGTCCCAGAAGTAGTTCATACTGCTGAATCTAGCGTGGAACTGGTATCAATTTGGAAGGGTATCGTCAGAGTCATTAATCAGTTCAGGCCAAAAGAAAGTTCTTTTTTGAGCGGGGTCTGATGATCTTGGAGTAGTCACGGGATGCGGCTACCCAAAGCAAGACGCGAATTTGAAGTCGACAAGCGCGAGGAAAGCTACCACTGATTTACTAGATGACAAGCAGGTCCTCGTTTAGTCAGGGCTCACACACCATTTTGAAACTCGAGAAACTCACCCCAAGTTCACCCATAATTTCCCATAATCTGATGGTCCTCACGAACCTTTTCTTTGAGCAACCTTGTGATACCGCGCTACATGTATATAGGACATGTGAGATGAGAGGCCCTGGGCTCGACTCTGCGAAGTGTCCCTATGCTTTGCCAGCCCGGCATTGCCAAGCTTTGTCGAAAGAGCACACGGCCCCTGATGGCGAGTTCTGCTTGAGCACATGCCTTGTGTGGGGCTGGTGGCTGGTCGTAAGAGGTAGGATGGGGTGGCCAACAAAGGCTGTGCGTGCGCTGGCCTGAGGGAGACCCATGCAAAAGGAGCTGTAACTCCGCGCCTGGTTGCATTGCAACATGACGACGAATTTGTCACCGAAGTGAGGTAGAAACAGCTGTCGCTGACAGACTCAATCTGGAAACTGCCAGTGCTTTTGGGCTTGCCCGGCAACAGAGCAGAGGACCGCGGGCAAGATGGCCCCTCCTTGCTTTAGATAGTTCAGATGCGAAGACAAACCTGCATGATTGCTGATGCCATTGCAAAAAAAAAAACAGCCTTTCCACAATATTGTTTCATGCGATGCAAGTCATTTGCCTGCTGCACGGGCAAAACTTTGTGGGGGACTCCTGCCTGTGCAGAGGTATGACGGTGCCAAGACTGATGCTGGGTTGGAGCCCAGTTGCTAGCAACAGAGGCACAGTATCCTGCGATGTTCAACATTCCATTGAGCCTCCTCCGCACAGACTGACATCGAAGAACAGAATCATTCGACATGCGAAGACCTCTCTTCAGGTGAGACAATTCTAGATTCCAGAACCCTTGCCCAGGCAAAGCACCCAAGGTATCTGAGGATGTTCCACAGCCAGGTAGGGAAGCGCTACACCTTGTCACAGGTGTGGTTCCTTGATTTCAGGTATGCGAAGGGTGATTCACTTTGGTGTAGACTTATTGAGCTCCTGTAGATTACAAGAGCAAATCTAGCCTTAAGAAAGCCTCAAACTTTGCTAGCAAGTCTGCGATAAGAGAGGAACGAGTCCCTAAAGACTAGCCAGATGTGTCACTAGGCACAAGCCTAGGACATCCCTCCATCCTTCGAAATGCGGTAATAGGAAGGCTTTAGCCTGGAACTGATTCTACACTGATGCTTGGGCAGGGCCTGTGCAACTGGCGGGATGATGCCTTTGTGCGGGCTCTGCCACAGCACACTCTTCCACAAGTTTATCCTGCGAAGATGGTTGGTTGCGTCTTTTCATGGTTACCGCCATTGGCCCACACCGCAAGCCAGTCGCAAGCCTCGAGTCACGGCCATGGATCAGAATTGATGCGTCCGATCGAAAAATTGCCTGATCCTCATGTTGAAAAGACATGACAAGAATTGCACGTGAACAGCACGGCCTCCGAAAGAATTGTCAAGAAAGAACAAATAATCAAAAGAAACCAAAGAATAGGCCACAACTGTTCACTCTGCAGGGTAGAGAAGGCCGCCATTCCACCAGGAGCCAACAGCTTCTGATGAGATCTTCAGCCAGATCCGCCACTGCGCTGGTTTTAGGACTCATAGCCCAGCTCTGTTGAACATACGCACGGAAGGCTACTTAGTACTAATGGCGCAAGGGCATGATGGTTGCAAGTTCCTGGCAACGAGCTAGAGTCTAAACTCCTTAAAGGGCTTATATACGGGCTTATGCAGGGGATTAAAAAAGGGGAGTACAGACATTCTGAGGGAAGCTAGCTCCAATAACTCCTCGTGCCACATGAAAGCTAACCCAAAGTTTCCCTAAATAGGGGCCCCACAATACTTGAAATCCTTATTACAGGGACCCCGAAAAAATACCCCTAATCTTGGGATACAAATGGTAGAATGGTAGATATTGCCGATGCGCCTTGCTCATGTTCAAAAGGCACGGGCTGCCCACTTACGCCGTTGTGCAAATGGCCCAGCACTGCTTGGATACTACAAAGGCATGCAGGGGGGTCGTTCAACTTGATCGCGTGCAAACTGTGTCCGTTTGCATCGCATGCAGCTGTGAAAATTAATGAGCATCAGAACTCGGCACTGTACAGTAATGTCTTGGGTCCCGGATATTCCTATCAAATCTAGACATGGCCGTCATTTTTTGCAACACATCCCTGAAACCTATTCCATAGTCCTGCGGGCCTTTGTGGTAGGTGAGACTGGAGTAGACCGCTTAGGGTCAAAGGCAAAGAAGCTCTGCTAGGATGCCAGGCTGAGGATGGATAGCTTGGATTGCTAGAGGTTAGGAAGGGAGCGTCAGGCCTTTCAGGCATTTGACTGGCAACTGTGGGTTTAGGAGACTCATGGGTTATTGCCAATGATTGCCTTCAACATATTAGCTCCTTACTCGGAGTTGCCAGGCCTGGCTTGTTTTCAGGCATTGCTAGCGGACGGGCTTGGTAAAGACAACTACAAAGCTATCATGAAGCAGACTTCCTCCCCATCCTTATCTTGGCGCTTCGGCCATGCGGAGGGATTCAGAAACGTTGAGCAAACCACATATGAGGTATTTCCTAAGTGAAGCTGAGCGAATCCTTTAGAAGCAACTCCAAGAGCTGAGAGAACCGTCAATCCGGAACAGGTTCTGGACATTGACAAGCGCACCCATGCACATCATGATCATCAATCGGTAGATCGTTGCAGTCACTAGGACGTACCGTGCGGAGGCTTCTACAGCCCGCCGTGTGTGAAGCTGTTTGCCAACGTTGCAGCTGGAGCGTGCGCACCGCCCGATTTCAGGAGATCGCGCAGCAGGAACTTTGACCAGAGGCGGCTTTCTGCACCTGGCATCCAGGAACCCACCCGAAATCTCCAAACCCCTCAAGCACGTCGGGTCCTTTCTAACTTGGACCACACTCAAGATTCCTCCTTCGAGTTGTTCTGACAATTCAAGCTAGACATCTGGCAGCGTCCCCATGGAGATCATGCTCCTGCCCTGGTGCTCAACCCCTTCCAACCGAACTCCGGACGGCTGAGACCGTGGCCTTGTCATCTGGCTGCTCTATACTATCCTGAAGGAGTCATGGCATGCATGGCATGCTGGAACGTAGGGGACTTGGAAGAGCTTCTTGAGTTCAGGAACGAAGCTACTACCCCGCGCAGGGGCTTTGCATTCTGCTCATCCTCATCACCATCCTCATCATCATCATCATCATCATCCAAACCTCTCTCTCTGCGAAAAGTGATGTTAAAGCACAAAGGGTGTAAGTTTCATCTTCTTTTTTCTTCGCTGCTGCCAAGCTTCATCAATTTGGAGCGGCTCCAGGGGACCTCACAAATCTAAAGTGGTTCCATTAAGCTTCCGAAGTGGTGGGAGCAGGGATCTACATTTCAGCCAAGGGGGTCACATGTTTCAGTCTATAAGGACTTACTGAAACTTGAAAACTTTCTATGGCAGGCTCCATTCTGTCTTTTGGTTGCAATTGAACGTGGGTTTCACCATGTCAGGGTGGCTAACCCGCTCAAGTTCTCAGGAACCACTGGGTTGCTGACCTGTGTCTTTACCTCGCAGGAATTCGAAATCATGATCCTCGCTGGGGCCGATCTCCGCCCTGAGCGATGCGAACATCTTCCTGCCAGGTCACTCGGGGATGCATGGCTGTAACCACGCCCTCCCCTTTGCAAATCCATGTGTAGGGCAAGGTGCAGAACAAAGCATGTGCGCAATTGAATCTAAGTTGTCAGATTTCTGTACGGCCAACATTCTTTGCAGCCTCACTTAGCACGTTGGCACGAACAAGATATAAGCCAAGGTGCAAGCACGTAGCACAGCATCCCTGACTGAAAAACCTTGACGCCATGCAAACCCCAGCCTCATTCCGGCGTAGTCAGGTCGTTCAGTGTACCTTGCTTGAAGGTAGATCGCAAAGCTAAAAGGCTGCATCCACGCGGTGCTTGCTTCTATCGCGGCTTACTCCAGAAGAACAATTACCGCGAGGGGGGATGCAAGAAAGGCTGTGTGTCTACTCTAGACTCTCGTGTGGCACGCAGCAAAAGCAAGATGCCAGCAAATGGTTTTCATGCTTCTCCCCATTCAGGTCAGCTACACCGCTATCTCAAGTCTTGGCTGTCAGCCAAAGTTGGAGAGCCTAGCTTGTCTGTCAGGAGCCAGAGCTTCTAAGGCTCTAAGGCCGCGGCTTCAGATTCCGAGCTTGCTCCAAGTACTTCGCAAAATGCTGCGGGTGTCCTTCACCTGGGCTGGCCACAAACAAAATCGTTGCAAGGGCGAGTGATGCAACGGTGCTAGGGCTCGACTGTCAAAAATCAAGGGCTCCAGTACACCCTGTCTGCGAAAATTCACCAAAGACCACGGATAGCACGGTTATGCAAAGGCAGTATCCCTGGTTCGTCCGAGGCCCGATTGCCAAACCTGCATGCTGAACTCTCAGACGCTGCTTGGAGGCAGTGGGTAGGTGGCACATGGGCTTCCAGGTGCTGCCATGTTTTGGCCGCTGGGCCGTGACATGACCGCGCCTATGAACATCTACACGTGCACAGGGCCCTGGCAAAGCTGCTCGATTGGGAAGGTTTCCTGCATGCTGGAATCTACACGCCAGAACAAGCAGCCAGACGGAGAATACTTTGCAAATGTTTAAATGACATCTGCCTGGAGTACAGTGGCCAGCGTGCTCCGCAGGACTACGTGGTCATGGGAATTGTGAATCGCACTAATGGTCCAGCAATAGGCAGATGAGCGAGGGTGACGACTTGAATCTGCACACGTGCCTGCCCTGTGACCGATCTACTGTAAGAAGTTTGCCGGCCCCTGAGGGATCTGAGAACGCAGAACCTTCTGAACACAACCTCCATTGTCACAAGCACAAAAATTGTCGTGGTATGGATGGACCTTGCATTCACGGAAACAAACCTGGTACGGCGACAAACACGTTCACCGACCAGTACGGTTTGAGTAGGTTCGCGAAGTTATGCAAAGTTGGGGCTGTGTCCTCTAATAGATCCGTCAAACAGGCACCGAGCCTTGACTTCTCGAATCTTCCTGTACTTCTCCTCCTGCAGGAAGGGTGGCAGTAGCTCTCCGAACCCGCGGCTCCAAGCATACACCCCAAGATATGCGTGCCCCTCTTGCCCCGAAAGCAGCATCAAGCATGATAATCATTGACAATCTCCATGGAGCTCCTGCGACTTGGCCTCAAGGCCAGACCACGGCAACGACCCCCGGAGGAAGTAGAAGAGCATGTGCCCTACAGCCTGAGCTTACAACCGTTTGGCGCAAGCATCAGACAGCATTTCACACTCCTAGCTTCTATGAGAAGGGGACATGAAGAGAAGCTGCAGCAGAAGTCGTATTGAATATGCAGCAAGTAAACAACGTGGACTGTTCAGAGGCCTCAGCTGGAGGGTGGCTACTCTATGCTACTCTTGCGTCATGCCCCTGCCTTTTAGGGTTCAGAGTTTAGGGATTAACGCGAAAGTTTGGACAGACTAGTACTAACATTGATAGGACCGAGTTGGATTCCATCACAACCTTGGACCAAGCCATGGAGAATTACGCACTCTAATTTCAACCCAACATCCCACGCAAGCTTGAGGTTTCGACATTTGCAGACTTAAATGGTAGTTTCCCTAAATACGGGGAACTCCAGTATAGACGCAAAAAAAGCGACAATCCTCAAAATGGGGACCCCCAAAAAGGGAGCCCTAAGAACCTACCACCACCGCTCCGCCTCGAGATCATCTCGTCGGCTCTGCTCCATGCCTGGCAGATCACCAGAAGCCAACACTGCTGTGAGATGAGGGGCAAACATCCACAGTCAAAGCCAGGCATGCAGCCTTACTGGCGATAAGGAAATATATTATATGTCTGTAAAGATTATAGAGGGATCCTATTCCCTTTTTCCCTACTAAGCACCAGTAGGCAGCAGCTCCTCAAGACTCTGGAAGCATTTTTTTCCACTGAAGGCGTCTGTCCACTCCAGCTGTACAGTGCCAGGTCTGATCAGAAGCCCAAGTAGAAGCCAAACGCGGTGTTTCGCAGCACATAGTCAATAACTACCCAAGCCACAAACAGAATTGCCAGGGTAGGCAGCAGATCGAATCCGAAGATCTTCCTAAACCTTAGCATCCATAAGATGAGGGCAGGGTACAAGCATTGTAAAATCCCATGATAGGGGAGCCAAATATAGACCCCAAAATGTAATGATCCTTGCTATAAAGACCCCAAAAAAAGGTGCCCCTGACTGTGAGAAACCCCAATCCCTACATAAACCCAACTTCCATGTCATTCTCCATGTTCTTTTCCATTTGATTCTCCATTATTTCGGGCAATATATCCCTAAGCCTTAAAACCCCTAAACCTTAAACCTTGTATACACCTATAGAACCCCTTAAAGGTACCCCTATATATATACCCCAAACCCTAGACTCTAAACCCTAAATAAATATATATATATATCTGTATATCTCCCCCTTTAAAGGTACCCCTATATATATCCTAAACCGCAAGCCCTAAATATAATATGTACATACAGAAGTCTTATTGAAACTGAGGCAGTGGCTCGAAGCTGGCTTGGCGCGTGAGGTCGCTCACTGCCTCGCCTTACTGAGGGTCAGTAGGGAATATGGGGATATAATCCCTATAGGAATATAATATGGGGATATGATCCCTATAGTTTTTTTTGTTTTGTGGGACCTCTTCTCCATAAGTCCAGCTTACGAGTTGCCTAGTAGCACGGTCCTTAGCCTTAGCCCTTAAGGCGGTGCTTCAGAGTAGTTTGCCTACCCCTACGCCCTGCAGTACGTGATGCAGTCGACTCCATAGCTTCGCTGTTTCCAGGGTGCACTGTGTGTTCGTCACTTAGCTCATCGTCCTCCATCATCCCTATAGGGTTTAGGGTTTTGGGTTTATATCATCCCTAAAGAAGCCCCATATAATTCCTAAACAGTCCTTGTACAATCCCTGTACAACCCCTATATCATCCTTTCATTATCCCTATATAGTTCCTGTGTAATCCCTGTATAACCCCATAGGATCCCTATATAATCCCTGTGAAATCCCCATATAATCCCTCTATAATCCTAATAAAATCGCTATATAAACCCTACAATCCCTATATAATCTCAAAATCATCCCTATATAATCTGTATAAAGCATACATTCCCTTGTTCCCTAATAATACCCAGTAAGTCGCTGGTCCGGCCCACTTTTTCTGCTGCCTCATCCATGGATGCCAGCTCGATCTTCGGCTTCCTAAGCACGAAAACCAGACAATGTCAACCTTAATAATAATACGAACATGAATGATACGAGTAGGAATCATACGAATAGCGATTATACGAATACTACTTTGAATATTCAAATTAAAAATACTGGCATGGTTAAAGATAATATCTTCACCTGATGCGGACAGTCGACTTTTCCTCCTCGTCGCCACCTTCTCCGCCTCCCTTGGGTGGAGGGATCGCAGCGGCCCGCCTGGCAATCGCAAGACATGATGTGAAGATATTACGTCTGACTACGAAAATTTTGGTGCTACTGAATAGAGATTCGCAGTATTGTCAAGCTCCATTCGTATTCGTCGTCGTCGTCGTCGT